GTTGGCTCACGAGAAAGTTTCAATTGTCGACTCAAATTCAAAAAATTCTCAAAATTCCTCCAAACCAGCCAACGACTGGAAACTTCCTCACTTTAAAGCAACTGGTAGGGAGTATGGAAGGGAAAAAAATCTAGGGTCCAACTCGTCAACTCCCGGAGTTACAGGGGCATTTTTAAAACTTCACAACCGATAAACTTTCAACCGTCGACTCAACTTCAAAAATTTCCCCAAATTCCCCCAAAGCAGCTACGGACTCCCAACGTGGCACACTTTAAAGCCACTGAGTGGGCGAATTTGGAAAAAAATCGCAACTTCGCTTGCGATCACCCACAAGCTCATAATCGGGCTTAGAACAGGACTGTTGTTGTTCCAAGACAGGCGCCACTTTTTCCGCGACAAAAATGACCGAATTCCCCCCACACAGAAGCAGCCGTTTTTCAGTCTGTCTCTATTAATCGTCGGGCGGCGCCCCGCCAAACCCCCAGAAAGGGGGCAAGGGGGCCGGAAAAGGGCGACCGATCATTAATTTAATTTTGAAGTTAACTGTCGCAGGCAACGCGTATCTTTCACCATATTAATCCGGACGTCATGCGAACCATTTAAAAAGTCACAAGATGAATAAGCCATTGAAAATGCGCTACAAATTTAAATGATTAATTAAGAGGGACGTTGAGCGACGGCACCGTTCCGGAAGTAACTCAATAAGAAAAAGACCCCGGAGGGGCGCAGCGCAACATTCCCGATAGCGATTCGCCATTTTTATTGACGTTCCGATGACAAGTGACACGTGACAGCTGACACGTGACTGTTGACAGGCGACAGGTGACAGCTGACAGTTGACAAGCACCAAGACCGGTTAGCGCGGGTGAAAAAGGCCAACTAGGCAAATATTTGCGATTCCATTCCATTTGCCGGAGCGCATCGCCCGGAGGATCCGGGCCATCAGCGCCAGTAAATCAGCTGCAAAGTAGAACTCCATCCGCAACACTGACGTGCACCGGCTTGTATCGACAAGCTCTTTTCGCGTCGAAAATCGGCCCCTCTAAATAAACGGAGTTTACATGCGAAATCGAGCTCCATGTTTGCCAACTTTTCCTTTGCAAGCGGGAAGTTTGATGGCAACTTCACCGCAGTAAACGCGATTCCGGACTCTTTCCGTGTCCATCTCGGGTGTCCGAGTGTGGAATTTTGCGGTGTTGCTGGGCAAAAAACGCCATTTTCCGGCATTTTGGCCGTTGG